AAAAAAAAAAAAAAAAAAAAAAAAGAGGTAAATTTTTGGGTTGTTGCTGGCAACAATTTAGTCAAAAGGACCAGGTGTACTGGGCACGGTGGCTCATGCTTGTAATTCCAGCACTTTGAAAGGCCAAGGTAGGCAGATTACTTGAGGCCATGAGAGTTCAAGACCAGCCTGGCCAACATGGCAAAACCCTGTCTCTATTAAAAATACAAAAATTTGGCTGGGCATGGTGGCTCATGCCTGTAATTCAAGCACTTTGGAGGCCAAGGCGGGCGGATCACCTGATGTCAGTAGTTCAAGACCAGCCTGACCAACATGGTGAAACCCCGTCTTTAAAAAAAACAATGTAAAAAGAAAAAAAATACAAAAATTGGCCAGGCCTGGTGGGACACACCTATAACCGCAGCTACCTGGGTGGCTGAGGTTGCAGTGAACCGAAATCATGCCATTGCACTCCAGAGACTCTGTCCCTCACTGACCAAAAAACACAAAGCGTACCAAATGCCATACACACAAAAAGAGTAGGCTATACCATTCACATACCAGACAGAAATAGAGCTGGAATCAAAGTGGTATGAGCTGGAATCAAAGTGGTATGATCAGAACTGTTATTAATAACTTAGTTGTGGGTTAATTCATATCAGTTCAAAATAATTCTGTTAAACACTCTTTTATATAAGGTTTAAAATAAATAATTTTTACTATACCCGGGCCATTCTTTTCCATTCTGGCATTAAGACTTGACATGGATGACACCACGGAGAATAGAAATCAACCATCCAGACCTCGTTGTGTTTTCTTTGTGTAACTAGTTCGTTGAAAGTGGTGGGTGTAAGGGAGATCACTGAAGGATTCATAAGATCCTGAAGAGAATATAGCTCCCATTATAACATATATATAACATAGCTGTTCATATACTCCTGGCAAATTGTTGGTATAGATTGAGTATCCCTTATCCAACATACTTGGAAGTATTGTAAATTTTGAATTTTGGAATATGTTCATCTATCTTGGAGATGAAACCCAAGTCTAAACATGAAATCCAGACTTTGGAGCATTTCAAATTTCAGATTTTTGGATCAGGGCTGCTCAATCTGTGTATGTCCTTTGGAAAGTTCCTGTTTTTGAGAAACCAAAAGATGCTTGGGGATAGATAAAAGAAATAAAATGTGAATTATCTTAAAAAATAAAAATAAACCCTAACTTAAATGTTTTAAGTTTGGATTTTGCACATCAGTTTTGTAAAATCAAGGTCTATTTTCCCTTTATCTCTATGTATCACTAAAATCATAACAGGTAGGGAAAAGAGGTGACTTTAAATTTCTGCGTGGATAGTCCAAGAGTTTCAAGGGCTGCCTGGATGTCTACAGAGGCCATAAAGTTCTGTTCGAGAACCAAGAATGACTGGTTTGGAAAGGATTCTTTAATTACTAAAGGAAAGCCTGCTATCTCATTTTTCTGACATTCTGACTGGAGATACTTCACCTTTCTACAGATTCTTTGTTCCAAATGATATTTTAACAAAGTTTCTGCCTAAAAACACTTAGGTAATACTAATGAAGTGGCTTGCTGGGAAAATAACACAAAACAGTACTTTAGAGGAGGAGAAACAGATGAGTAGGACAGGGTCGGAGGGTCATTAAAAGGATAACGACAAACCAGAATTTTTCACTTTTTTTCTAGGAGATCCCTGCAAGCATTTTAGTCAATCAAGAGTGTTACTGAGGGAAAAAAGGGATGCTGTAGATGCCGGACACTTGTTTTTGGAGAAAACAGGACAAAGAGGTAACAAGGCTTTATGTGAAAGTAAACTGCAAATGCCTAATAAATAACTGTGTCCATTGTTTGTAAGGCACTATACATAGCAGGTAACAAATAAAACACAGATTTATTTTGAGTTTACAGACAAGTATATAATAAAACATTAGAAAAATAAAAATCATTTTGTCAGAAAATAGATTTGGCATGAAAAAAATAAATCCTATTAAACAGTATGAAATAAGAATGTACATATAAACAGACAGATTTCTAGCCACACAGTCTATAATTTGAAATACCTCTATGAACTCCAAGATCTGTTCAGCAGAGTGATGTCCTTCATACTCATGAATGTTGGACTGGTTGAATACCACTGTTGTTGGATAAGCCTGAATGTTATACTGACAAGGAGAATACAAATTAAAGATTTTATAGATTTCACCGATTTGTTACAAATTTATAACAAGTTTGCCTTTAACAAGATTTAAAAAACCCATTGCTAAATTGCTGGTGACAATAATTTTAGTCTCATCAAATTTAGCAAAGGACTCATGGCGATGAATACTGATAAATACTGACGAATACCTGATCCTTATTTACAGCTGCTCCATTAGCCATGAAAACCACAGGCATCAAAACATTGAGAAACCAGCCTGGGTAATTACACGAATGGTCCCTTTTTACTCTCCTGAACCAAGGTAAGAAGAGGCTATAACAAGGCTGTATCTCTAGCTTGAGTCTTTTTTTAAACCACAATAAATACTGTTTCTAGAAATGGATGATGATCAGGAAACAGCAAGAATAAAGACACCAATGATTAGGGGGTACATGATTATGTTTTAGGTTAAAGAATTATGAATCATGCTTTGGAAGGTGAGCACTTTTTATTCTTTCTTCAAGACAGCCTTTATAGTAGGAAATACTTAATTTCCTTCCGATATTAAAATGGGCACCAGCCCAGGAAGCAATTCTCTAAAGCTTTTTTATGTTTTTAAAGTTAGAAAGAGATCTGTGGATTTACTGTAGCTGAACTTTGCACTCTTAAAGTTGTAAGTACTCATTAGCAAATTAGAATCTTAGACCAGGATTTAAAAATAATTTTCAAAAAAACAAAAGAAACATTTATAACAAGACAATTATAGCTAAAATTTAATAAGTGTTTACTATATGTTGAGCACTTTTGGCATTTAACATGTAGTTTCTCATTTATTCTTCAAAACAATTCTATTTTGTTGCTAAAATTATAAAACCCACTGTATAGATTAGGAAACTGAGTTACTGAGAGGCTAAGTAACTTCAACCAACTGGTGAGTGGCAACTAATTAGTGAGTAGTGAATTCTGGCCTCTATTTCCAGGTGCATCTGGTATCATAGTTTTAAACCCTTACACTGAACTCACATATGTTTAATGAGCTAAGATTAAAAGTAGAAAAACTAAAGGAATTCAAATTAAGATAATTATTATCACATCAATTTTGTATCTTTGGTTGGCATTTCTTTCAAAGTTACATAGAAGACATTCAAAACCAAATGCCTTATTTATTTCCTTTTATAAAAATTTATTTAAATGAAATTTCTACAGGCGTGTGCCACTGCTGCTGGCTTAAACTTCTATGATGTTCTAAAAACAGATGGCTTTCTTTTGTTTTCCTTCCTCTTCCCGTTTCTTTTTTCCTTTTATCTTTTCTCCCTCCATCTTTTTTTAAAAAACATTTTAGTTTTTATCAGTTATTTAAAACATTCACGAAAGTAGACAGCAAAAAACTCTCCCATATTCACATAGCTACAATAATCACGGACTCATGGCTACTTGTATTTCACTTACACTCCCATTCTAGTCTACTCCCAAGATTATTTTAAAGCAAAATTCAGATGATCTATCATTTCATCCACAAACATTTCAGTATATTTAAAATGTAAGGACTCTCCTCCATATAACCACAATATCATTTTCGTTGTCAAAAATTAACAATAGTTACCTGAAATCATCAGATATCTTGTCAGTGTTCACATTTCCCCAGTTATCTCTTTCTTTGCACTTGATTTGTTTAAATTGCATCCAAAGTCTAAACGTTGTATCTGACTTCTAAGTCTCTTTACTCTCTCCTCCACTATACACAATGTATTTAGTCAATAAACGGTGTTTGTCCTGTAAAGTTCTCCACATACTAGGATGTGCAGATTTCATACCCATGGTGTCACTTAATATGCTCCTTCGTCATTCAATTTCTTATAGAGTAATAGATCTGGAGATAGATCTACTATAGGCTTTTTTTTTTTTTTTTTTTTTTGCCAAGAATATTTCATAGGTGATATTATGTACTTTCATTCTACAGTATATAATTTCTAGTTCTTTTTGCAACTGAGAAGTAAGTATTTGCCTGAGAAAATATTTTCATTTAAACAAAGATTTCACAAGGCTTGTTAACTGTTTTAATTTCCTTCCAGCAAATATACTTAGAAGTATAAGGAAAGCCAAAGGAAAAAAATTATAAAATGTCAAAAATATTAAAGAAATATAAAGATCTTAAATAATTAGAAAATCATATAAGCATTTCATTAAGTTAATGAAAACAGTTGCTTGAGTTTGTAAAATCTTATTTACATTCAATCCACTGATTCGCTATTTATGGTTTGATCCAATCATATTTGATATCATTTTCTAAAAAAATTATTTGTTTAAATAATTTGTTACTACTTTAAACAGAAGAGGTATTATTTCTTATTTTATTGTTTTAACATTAAACAGCCAAAAGGTCTCCACTTAAAAAAACTAATTAGAATTTTAGATACTTTGCCTTACCATGTTACAGAGTCCCTCATGAACTGTACAATCTAGTGTACCAAACTTAAGCTGACCATAAAGAAGATTTGATGCTCTTCGTAACTCTGGTAGTAAAGCTCGACATGGTGGACACCACTAGGAAAGAAAAAGTATTCATAAGCACCGAGCCAAATGACACACAGACAAAAAACACCCCAACATTTCTGCAACAAGTAATATGCTAAGTAACACAAACTGTATTTAGTGGTAAACCTTCCTTAGATTTTAGAAGCAATATGCAATGGTGGCCATAATGGAATGACATAGTTCTAGTAATAATAAATTCAAAATTATTTAGAAAATGTCTTTTTTGCCATAATAAGAGAAAATCTGAAAATGTTAGAATTTGACAGATAAAAATAACTTACAGGGGCAAAGAAATCAACAAGCCATGGTTCTTTGTCATTGGCAGGAAAATTTTGAGGTCCAAGTGTGGTAACATGAGAATTCACACTTTCTTTGGCAAAGGCAAGTATATCATATAGAATCTTCTTTCCTTTCAAAGGGAATAAGAGAAATTAAAATCCAAATTCTGCTTTTTGTAGGCACAGAAACATTTCAAAGTTTTTTATACTCAAAATATTAATATAAATTATAAACAAATTGATTTTGGTCAGGTTTTAGTGTTCTATATACTATACAGGGCTTTGCTCTGATAGTAGTACTCTTTTCTTGCAAACTCTTCTGTTTCTTGGACTAAAAATGTCAAACTCTTTTTGAGATGTTCTCTTATCTTCAGAGGTAGAATAATGACTTTTTAAAATAGTGTCCTTTAAATTATTTATGCTTACCTCAGCAATTACTATGGCCTAACTCCTAAATCTTTTTCTATAACCTAGACTTCTCTTATAAATTCAAAACCCTATTACCAACTGCCCAGTAAAAAATTGTACTTGTATATCACGTAAACTCATCAAACCCAAAACTGCATGTGCTGTGTTAACAGTATTTCAGTCAATGGTGGACCACATATGTGATGGGGTTCCATAAGATTATAATTTCTACTGCTGAAAAATTCCTACTGCTCAGTGATGGTGTTGCTCTTGTAACTTTGTAGTGTAACACATTACCCCTTTTCTGTGTTTAGATAGATTTAGATACACAAACTCTTATCACTGTATTACAGTTGCTTATGGTATTCAGTATATTGTAACACAATGTACAGATTTGTAGCCTAGGAGCAATAGGCTATACTGTATAGCCTAGATGTGTAGTGGACTATACAATCTAGTTTTTTTAAAGTACACTCTGTTTGCATGATGATGAAATCACCTAACAACACATTTCTTAGAATCCACCTCTGTTGTTAAGTGACGCGTGATTATATATATTCAAATTGAAGCTGAGTTATTTCCCTCTAAACCTGTTCCTCTTCTCATCATCCTTATCTTGGCAATAACATAAGTATCCACTAGGTGCCTAAATATAATTCCCCAGAGTGATCTTTGACTTCTTTCTCTGCCTTGTATCATAATAATTCTATCAATTCCATTTCTTACCATTTCCAACCCATTGCTACTGCCTGAACTCAGTGTGGCCTACTACAACAACCTAGCTAGTGCTGCTTCAGCCAGCCTTCCTTAACTAATCCATTTTCTACATTGCTACCACAGTCCACTTACACTGAATGGTATAATCACTCAACTGCAATTTTGTCAAGTCAGAAACATAGGTATTATTCTTGACTCACTCACTCTTGATGTCCCACATCTCAAAAGTCACTAAATATTGATTTTGCATTCTTGGTCTTTTACAGATCTACTTCTCTTCATCCCTGTTACTGTCAGAGAAGCTGGCTACCATACTGTGAGCAGCTCTACAAAGGCCCGCACGATGAGGAACTGAGGGCTCTGCCAACAGTCAGTGAGGAACTTAGGCCTCCTGCTGTATGAGACCTCCTGACCATCGCAGAAGTCAGCTTTGGAATTGGACCCTGTAGAAAGTCTAGCCTTCAGATGACCATAGTGCTTGCATATTTTGAATTGCAACCTCATGAAAAAATCTGTGTCCAGAACTATCCAGCTAAACTGTTCTCAGATTCCTGACCACCAAAAACTGTGAATTAATAAACGCTTGTTTCAAACCACTGAGTTTTGGGGTAACATATTACTAAGCAATAGATAATAAATACTCCCTACTTCAAACATTTTAAAAAACTCGTCCATTTACTTGTCTGTTTTCCCCAATAGTCCACAATGTTCTTTGGATTAGAGATTACTAGGTATAGTTTACATTTTTTCCTATTCATCTGTATTGTATCTGGTACATGTAGATGCTCAATAACTATTTTAATCCAAAGAAACAATGTAAGTTCTATTACAAAGTTAGTAAGCGCACATAAAAGGAAGTGCTTGGAGATTCACCTTATATTTCCCAGGGAAGAAGCTGCTTTAAGTTTTGAAGGGCAATTTGGAGTTTGCTAAATATTCTGTGGAACAGAGGAAGGAGTGATTACAATGCAGGAGGAAAAATCATGTGTAAAGGCACAGAGGACTGAAAGAACATGGCATTCTCAAGGATCCAAAGGTAGCTGCAGCTAAGACTATCTGGAGGGGCTGTGGTGGGAATTAAGACTGGAAAAACTGGCAGAGCCAGGCTGAACACACCCCATTCATTTAACAAATATTTCCTGAGTTGTTGCTATGTGCCAGGCACCATTCTAGGTGTTGGATATAGAGCAGTGAGCAAAACAGACAAAATCCTTGCTTCTATAATAAGGAATCTGAAACCAGGAAAGTCAAGGCAGAAAAGTGACACAAGAATGGGTAATAACTGCAAATAAAACAAGGAATCAGTTGTAAGGAACAAAGGCTAGGTAATAAGCAATCTTCCCAGATGATATTATAATACATGGAGATGATGGGCCTGAAGCAAAGCAGTAAGCATAGAGAAGAGGGAGGTCTGAGAACTATTTCAGAGGCTAAAAAAAAAAAAAAAAGAAAAAAAAGAATATAATTCCATTATTAAAATGTAGTTGTTTCTAGTCCTTCTAGTGTATGGCATAGTTTAGTGGCTATAAACCTAGGTTTTGGAGTCAGACAAAAAATCTACTATGGCTAGCTTCTAGTTGTGTGTCATAGGGCAAGTTACTTAACCTTTCTGAGTCTCCATTTTTTATTTCACTGAGTTGTTGTAAAGACAAAAATGAATCATGTATGTAAGGCCTTTGGCAGAATGTCTGACTTGTAGAAAGCAGTGAATAAACAGTAGTTACTGTTAGGGTTATCTTGCCAAGCCTTTGCTCACAAAGTTCCTCCAGCCTAGAGGTCTCATTACTTTTTCCCCTATAGTTGCTTGAGGAAATTGAGCACTTTATGCTCAATTCAAATACCACTTCTTGACCTCTACTATGCAGAAGTCTATTTGATCTTGTTGTAGTTAATGCATAACGACCATTAAAATATTTTTTATGTTTTCTTATGGATCTCCTTCCTCTGGTCCCTACTATACTATTTTAAACTTGTTGAAGGATCTCATGTCTTACAAATTTGTATCCTAAACATTGAAAGCAGTACTAGGTGCCAATGGGCATTTCATCAGTACCTGTTACTCATTTAGCTGTACGATATTTGGTAATTTGTGTTTCTTTAGCTATATGTAACCTCTTTTAGGACAAGGACCCTGCTGTAGTCCAAACTCTTGGAATTGAGACTGTACTCACATGAATGCAGAGCTAAAGTCCCAAATTAGCTGAAATATAATTATAAATGCAAGAAAGATAAGACATTTAATGGAGAAGTCTGGAAGTCTAGTGGGGGAAAAAAAAAAAAAAAAATGTCTGGAAATTGCCTATAATGACTGAGATGCTACACATGGGCAAGCCTGAATATAAACTGCAGGTGTTGCTTACTTTTGCTAAAAAGCAGGACTTAAATTTCTCACTAGCTTGACTTATCACTGAAAACCCTGATCAAAATGTTGAATAGAGAAAAGGCATTTATGTTAAAAAGAATAAAGAGAATAAATGACTATATATAATTCAAAATATCAGTCCTCATATTTACTGAGAAAAGTTATTTACAATAAGCATGTCCATACAAAACAAGTTTAAAAACACAATTAGAAAACTTCTATTTGAAAATGAAGCTAAATTTTAAACATTTTTTCCATTCTTACCATGATGAATTTCATATTCTTTGGTTCCTTGTCCTTTAAACACTGCTAGAGATGGCTGAAAAACATACAGATTACTACAGATGTCTGGTGCAGAGGAACAGTCAAACCTGCCAACCTTAAGGAGAAAAAGAAGGTCAAATTTGACAAAAACACAGCCTTACTATTCAATTTGTAAATATTCACGATAATCCAAAAATTGCATTGCCCTAATGACACAGTTTTTAAACAGAAGTGAACAGGCTATGAAAATAAGACAGAAACAACTCATTTAAATTTAATTCTAAGATTCAATTTTGTTAAAAAATGCTTCCTATAGAGTTAAAAAAAAAAAAAACCTGAGGAAATTCCCAGGAAAATATGAAGTTATTCCAGAAATCTACTTTCTGAAGATGTGGAGAATGTTTATATAATCTTGAGATAGAGGAGAGATCACTTCCAAAAGCAGAAATGGAGAAAAAGGTTGATGTTTTCAAACAGTATGAAAAACAAGCGTAAATAAAAGAGTCAAATGATAAAACAGCCAAATGATAAATTTTGAGGCAAAAAAATTTGAGGCATTTAAGACAGAGGATCCATTAACAAACAAGATGGGCTGGGCGTGGTGTCTCGCGCCTGTAATCCCAGCACTTTGGGAGGCCAAGGCAGGTGGATCACCAGAGGTCAGGAGTTCGAGACCAGCCTGACCAGTATGGTGAAACCCCGTCTCTACCAAAAATACAAAAATTAGTTGGGCATAGTGGTGTGTGCCTGTAGTCCCAGCTACTTACTTGGGAGG